TGCTGCTGATGGTTGCCTCCCAGACATCCCAGCAGGACAGAAAACTGACCTACAAAGCTATCATTACACCGGAGAAACCGTGCTCTAGCCATTTGCATTACAAAGCAGAAATAAAAAGTGGGCTTTTTATATTTTGTGTGTCTTGTTTTCCTTGGGCTATTTTTTTGTCTTATGTTGTTTTTGTTGTTTTTTTGGTTCAGCATAACTTGAAACGTTTGAAAGCTTTTCAACCTAAATGTGGGGGGAAAACAGGTAAGGCATTATTTTTGCACAAAACTAGCATTCCTAATAGTGCAAATGAATCTGGTACCTCTTAAAACGGTGAGAGGTCATACGCTCACTAGAATTTAGGTTTTCTTTCTATGGCTTGACAAATCCATATCCTCTAACTCTCACCAGAGCTGTCACTGTGGTCCAAAGGTTAGAGTCCACCTTCTGTGCTCAGCAAAAGGTTCTGCTCCTATGCAAAAAATCTGACTTTTAAATTAGGCTATGAGTGAAAGTACAACTTGGATTTGTAAGAAACTTTTCTCTGCAGCAACAGCTTATCTGGACAACAGTCTTTCAAAACGAGCCCCGTAGCTCAAAAATAGTCAATCTAAACCTGCGTCATCCTTTCCCCTCCCCTGAATTAGCTACTACAATATATCCAAAAAGTTTAAGACTTGGTCTGAAAATGTCATACATACAATGGGGATGCATCCGATCTACTATTTGATCATCTGACAAAACTTGCATAGCAAGATGGAATTCAATAGCCTTGTTTGTTGTTGACAATCCTCTGGAAGACTTGAAAGTTAACCGCAGGACTCAAACCATTATTCATCGAGTATCAGAATGTCCCTGCCACATGGAAGCAGACGTATAAATGAATCAGGAATCTGAATACTGATACCAGCAAACTAAGGGGCAATTTAGGGGAAGCTGGGCTTGTTCCAAGTGCCCATAATTCTAAGTCTCATTGCTATTGAAACCTTCCTTCTCTTAAGTTTGATGCACAACTACATTGAATTCCAAAGAAAATGAACAGGACCTTAACACTATTGTCTTAACACATATGCACTGCAGCCAGTGCAGAAACAGAACAGTGTACTCAAATTAATGCTAAATTTATTATTGCTGATAACTTACGAGTTATTGCCATTTGCAATTAGAAAGTCCCAGTTACCAATCAGAGCCTAGAACTGACTCCAGAAAACCTACTACACTTAAAACTCTTTCCTGTAGAAATTGGTCAATGGTAAGAGGTTATCACAACTTATTGCCTTTCTATTTTTTCTAAAATATAGCCTATTTCACGTGTGATTTTTTTTGTTTGGGGTTTGGGGTTTTTTTGTTTTTTTTTTTTTTTCTTTTCCTTCTTTCCTTGTTCTTAAGGAATCTGTTCCGGTTGGGGACCCTGGGAAGTGTGAGTCACCCGAGTCTGGAAGTTCATCGCTTGAACGTGAATGACTACTGTATTGTTGGAGGCCAGCTGACCAGGGATTGCCAATGGCTTGGGAACCCCGCCCCCGCTGGCCCACAGGCAGCAGTTAGGGAAGAGGATGTCAAGAGGACTGGTCAATGGGGCCTCAGCTGCCCTCTCTCACAGACAGACTTCCCAGTGACCTCGCTCTGCACCGGTCCTCTCCCCTCCCCCTCCCAGGGCTGCAGGCTGAGGAGTCATATTCCCTTACATTCCAGCTGCCCCCCCTTCAGGGCCCTCCAGGGGTGACCGTCAACACTTCTCTCCTCCCACTGGGACATTACACACAAGTCCCCTCGAGTTCCTCAGGCCGCGGAGCTGCTGCCTACAGACTGCAATGCAACAAGAACAGCCTGGGGCCCACGGTGAACATGGTTTCCAACCCACCACCATCCTGGAAAGTCAGTCAGGGGCTAGTAAACGGTACGTGAGGGTGTCTAGAACCATATCTGGTTCCGTGTATTCGGGGAACCAAGAGTTTGTGCTTTGGGAAGAATAAAAACTCACGAGGCTTCCGTAAGCCTCTCCCTCTTCAGAAACGCACCTCATTCATTCTTAGTGTTTAATTCCGCTTCTGTAGTGCGGTCACAGCCTACTCTTGTGTTTCCTCAACAAGTTGCAAATAACACACACTTCTCACGATGTATAAATGACTGAGAAAAATCCATCCTAAGGGCGAGTAAGTGTGTGTGTGGCTCAGGAGCTGGCGGGGGGGCGGGCGCCGGGCGCATCAGGAGGCCAGGATGCTCCTGCGGATGAAGTCTGTCCTCCGGCCCATG